CATCATCATCGCCAGTATCAGCATCATCAGCATCATCATCATCGTCGGTAGCAGCAGCAGCACCACCACCATGATCAACACCCGCATCATCATCATGAGCATCATCAGCATCAGCATAAGAAACACCAAAACCATCCACAGCATCAGTGTAGTCATCATCGCCTTCGTTGTCGCCATCATCACCATCATGATCAGCAGCATCATCATCGCCGACACCATCATCAACATCATCATCGCCGACATCATCATCGCCGACATCACCATCATCGTCATCATCATCATCAACAACAGCAACATCTTCATCACCAGCACCATCGGCATCACCAGCACCATAGTCACCATTATCATCATCAGCAGCAACAGCATCATCATCACCATCGTCATCGTCATCATCATCATCATCATCAGCATCATCATCATCAGCATCATCATCGTCATCATCATAATCATCACCATCATCATCATCCACATCAGCATCGCCATCACCAACGACCATAACACTATCCAAATCATCACCATCCTCACTAGCATCCTCGCTGGCATCATCAGAATCATCATCAGCATCATCAATATCAGCATCGTGATCGTCTTCACCAGCACCATCGTAATCATCATCATCATGACCATCATCATCACCATCAGCACCGTCATCACCACCATCATCATCACTATCAACCTCATCATCATCCGCATTATCATCCTCCTCTTCATGCTCATCTTCATCCTCGTCTTCATCAGCCCCATCACCTCCACCGTTATCATCAGCAGCAGCAGAATCCTCATCATCAACATCATCAGCATCATCCCCATCAGCATCACCATCGTCTTCATCATCAGCATCATCAGCATCATCAGTATCAGCATCGTCAGAATCAGCATAATCACCATCATCACCAGCATCATCACCATCATCATCATCATCGAGCTGGCCAGACTTAACCTTGTGGTCGTAGCGCCAATATCCTTGTCCTGCGACCATCCTCCTCCAGCCCATCATTATCCGCTGCGATGGTACGACCAGCGTACATCCTGGCCCGAGCACGCTTTCCAGCACAGACTGCCCCGACGGCCCACTGGCAGAAACGGGGCAGCACTGACAGCATATCGCTCCGATGCTTCGGCGGCCGAGGACACAGCAAAAACAAGCACGTTCCGTTCTACCTCTGGGGGCCAAGGGCGCACTCTGCGGCTGAGGGCGCAGCCTACGGCGCACCCCATGGCAGTTTGCGTTTGGCTTCGACAGATCGTTCCACGCCAACCCCATGGGCACGGACCGACAGAACTCGAAGCTGCTAGCCCTCACTGCTGGCCGCTCGGTTGGCCCCAGGCGGACCCCCGCGTGACGGGACTGGCCAACCAGCTTGCTCACCCAAGGACTCGTTCAGCCCTGGTGCCGCCCGCGGACGCCCCCGTTCCCCCTCGTCCTCTCCGCCGCCCGCCTCTACCTTTCCCCCCTTATCCCTCTTCGCTGCAGGAACTGCAGTTGCCAGTGCTCGTGCGTGCCCTGTGCAGGTATGCGTTTCTATTCTCATCTAAGCGGCGGGATCGTGCTAGCTTGTTCCAGTGGCGACCGCAGTGGAGTTGAAAAGGGTATGCTGCCCATCGTACCGTTCCGCGACGACGAGCCCCTCCTCCCTCATGCCCCGCCCTCTCTTCACCCCTCCTCCTTCTCCCCCCCGCCCCCCTCCTCCTCGCCTGCTTCCCTGCCCTCCCGCCGACCCCATCATCCCGCCCATCCTCCCAGTCCCCCCCTCCTATCGCTTCTCCTCCCGCCCCTCCCCCTCCCCACCCCCGGCAGGAAAAGGGGGGAGGGAACGTGGGGACAGGTACTCCTCTTTCTCTGCGGGGCAGGAGAGCGAGGTGGCCCTCCTCCTGCGGTCCAACAAGATCGCGCCTCGACCGCCACTACGGCCAGACATAGGACAGAAGAACATCCTTCAAGAGAATGAGACCCAACACACAGAACATCCAGGGGTACCCTCCCCAGGCTGCGCAAGAACATCCAACACACACACACACACACACACACGAAGAACGTTAGGGCACCCTCCCCGAGCCGACCTAGACCTTATACCTCGGTCCGACCGTACTCTAAACGTGTCCCCGATCGCGTCGATCGTAGGACACCTCTGCCTTTTCCTCGACCCGTCTCCTCCGCCAGACGAGACCCGCCAGCCTGGCGCGGCCCTGGCGGCGCCCCTGGCCCGCGATTGTGGGCGTCCTGGGGGAAGGCCAGCACCCCCGCGCGGAGCTCCAGGGCGATGCGCGGCACCCCGCCGCAGCCCTTGCGGCGGCCCACGGCGGCGCCGGCCACGGCGACGGCGAAGGCCACGGAGCCGACGCCGACGACGACGCTGGCGACGGCGGCGGCGGTGGCCACGGCCACGGCCACAGCCACGGCCACAGCCACAGCCACGGCCACAGCCACGGCCACAGCCACTGCGGCGGCGGTGGCGACAACGACGGCGACGGCGGCCACGGCCACGGCCACGGGCACGGCCACGGCCGCGGCCACGGACACGACCACGGACATGGCCACAGAAACGGACGACGCTGACGCCGACGCCAACGAAGCTGATGCCGACGCCGACGACGACGGCGGTGGCGACAGCGGTGGCGGCAGCGGTGGCGACAGCGACGGCGGCGACGGCGACGGCGAGGGCGACGGCGAGGGCGACCTCCCGCCACACTGGTGCATGGGCGCTTGAAGTTCAGAATCCCAAACAAACAGAAACTATTCCGGCTGATTTGTTTTCAGCTCGGAACGTCGGTCGTGCGGGAATAGCGCTCTCGCCATGGCGCCTGCCACGCCCCCGGCCACTCCAAACTACCCATTATCAATACTACACGCGTCTCTTCCTTCATCGCTTTCGTTCCTTGATCCGCAACTCCCGCGCATGGGTGTTCTGACACCTGCGGCGAATCGAAGTTTTCGACGCGTGGGCCCCCGGACCTATCGAACCCTTACTTGTTTCATTGGGGGGGGCCAGGAGCTATCCTCCACACGCTGGAAAATGCGAAAGCCATGCCACGCTGTCTGCACCGAGTCGCCGGATGGGAATTCAAAACGGCTTCACGCTGACAATGGTATATCAACCTACTCGAGAAAGGTAAGGAAAGAGGAGACGGAAGCTGAATCAGGTGAATCGGATAACGGTGCAAACAACTACGCGGCCAGCGGCAGCTTATGTTTGACGCGCCGCCCCCCCACGCCCCCAGACGCAATGGGATCTCAAACCATCAAACGCCGCACACACACACACACACACACACACACACACACAGACACACACACACACACACACACACACACGAGTAACATTCACGCGCAAGTACGGTTGCCATGGTCAGGCTCTGCACGCCGGGGCACTGTCGACTTGGACAAAGGTGCCCCGCATCCAGCCAAGGAAAAGCAGACCTTCTCGGGCACAAGATGGCGCACACCGCCGCGGCAACGCGCCCTCTGGGTCCCCGAGCCGCCCCTCGAACGCAGGGGAGGCCGAGCCCACAGACCCCAAGAACAGCGAACCCTCATGTGAATTTCTTTTGTGGAGATATGATCAATACTCTGTCAAGCTCGGGACGACCTCGGCTTTCCCCTGGGAGGTCTCGCCGTCGTCCCCGAACCCAGCGCCACGCAAATTTCAAGCTGCTACTCGCTCGCCTGGGCGTTACAATCCGAAGGGCCCGCAATCCCGCATGGGCGCATCATGCAGGAAAGTCTGTACTTACCCTTGCGGCTGTCGTCCTCCGCAGCGAACACCACTTGTGGGCCGACGCTGGAGTCCACGCCCTTGCCGTTGACGCGGTGGAAGAGGATATTGGCCCTGTCCGAACGTTTGGTGAAGCTATACTGGTTCCTGGTGCCAAACCTGCACATGAAACCCATCTTGCGACTGCGAGGCGCCATCGTCCTCGAGCCCCTCGCGCGACATCTCTTCCGTGTTCTGTCGATAGATTTGGACTTCCGCCGCCCGCTTGTCGAGTTAGGGGCCCCCCATTGCGGAGTCCGAAATCGGGGGCCACGGGCCCTGGATCAGGCTGAGCTCGCAGGCCCTCGCCCTCACGCGAAACACTGTGTCCCCGAGTTCCACCACTGCTGAACTTCCAGCGTCACCGATTGGGAAGCTCCCCGTGACCGTCTCCTGGATGCGGCTGCGCATTGTCAAATTGACCACTGAACACAAGCTGAGACTCCTTCTGGGCGTCGTGGTCGAGGGTTCGGTCTGGCGCCGCATGACTCTCATCCTCAGACTGTGTGGTCAGCATGAGCCCCAGCAATGTTGCTGCCGAAGGCCCAGTCCGCACCCGCGTTGGCAGCCCAAACAATGTGGCTCTCGGCGGCCGCCTGTTCTAGGTGTTGTGGCTTGGAATGGTGTCTCGATTGATCCTCGGGTCCTGTCTTGCCTGGAGACTCTTCCGCCAGGGAGTCGAAGGCCCAGGCGAACGCAAATCACTCTTGACCATGCCGGCGCCACGCAGCAAAAGCGAAGTCCAGGTCGTCCCGACCATAAGTCGCGCCGTCTCGCATTCGTGATCTTCTGCTCGGCCACCAGCACCTCCTGGTTAGTGTAGCCCTGCTTGTCCAAATCCCGGTGGACAATACAACTGGCTCACAGACGAGCTTCAGGTCGGTGCCCGTCGCTCCATGGCAGTTGCTCATCGCATCCCCCTCCCTGTGGTTTGCGATGAAGTGGCTGCCAAACACTTAGGAACCGACTGCTTCGCCGCCATCTAGTAGCGGTTCGTTTCGGCCACCGCGAGCTCCAGCGGCAGTGCGTTGCCCTTACCATCCAAGAGTTCCATGCCCTCGCCAGGCGCCCGCGCCGCCGCCTGCGACGTCTCCGTCGAGAGAGATAGTGCCCGTCCACAAACAGCCGAAGGCGGGTGCCTTATACTGAGGGTCGCATCGTGGAGGCGGAGGTGGAACATGCACTTGGACCCTTCCAGCCGTACCTACCCGCCACCTCGTTGAGCACGCCAGGCCCAGCATGGTTCGAGACAGCTGCGCCCTTTCCAAATGCGCCAACCCAGAGGTCTTGAGGCACGAAAAGGGCTAGAAGCAGAAGGAAAGAGGAGGAGGAGTAGCGAGGGAGGAAGACGAGGAGGAAGAGGACGACGACGTCTACGCACCAGCCCCCTGCGGAGCATTTCTGGCCTACCTCGGCTATCAAGACGTTGCCTGCGGGGACCCAGACTAGGCCCTGCGGGGCCCCCTGGGGAAGATTATGGCCGCAGATGGGGCTTATCGTTCTGACAGCTTTCTCTTTTCTTCTTTGCGCGTGCGGCCGTTACTGCACATCGCGAACCTGTCCTGGCAGCTCAGTCTCCAAGGCTGAAGCGGGTGCATAGCACCCTTTGATGCGAGCCAAGAGTTCCTGAGCAGTCGGCCGTTTAGCCGGGTCCAGAGCAAAGCAGGCATCCATGACAGCCTGAATGCCTGGGCATCGAGCCTCCACGAGCTCGCCATCGCTCAACGACGGCGGCAGTCCCACCGTCAGGGCCGCCTCAAGCTCTGGAAACGTAATGTCGTCACCATAAGGCGAGCGCAGCTCTAGCAGCTCGAACGCCAAGGCACCGAAGCCCCAAATGTCCGCGGCCTGGCCGTAGACTTCCTGACGGACGACCTCAGGTGCCATCCACTGGGGCGTCTGCACTGGCGTCTGCGCCCGGCTCCCCACCTTGCAGGCGCCAAAGTCTCCGAGCTTGGCGACCAGAGAGTCGAGAGAAGTATCCAACACCTGCTGCCCCTTGGACTCGAGCGGCAACTGCAAGAAAACGTTGGCCGCCTTTACGTCCCGGTGCAGCACTCTGCGCCCGTGCAGAATCGCCGACCCTCACAGGCCAGAAGCGTGCGGGATCCCGCTGTCGGGTTGGGTCAGGCACTGCGCTTGTTCCCCAAACAATGCTTGTTTTACGGGCCTCCTACTTCAGCTGCTGAGAGATCGGATGGCGCTTCCTGACTTTCGGATGCGTGCCCGCCTCGTCCCCGCCCCGTGCGCTGGCTGGCACTGCCGGACGTTCGTCGGGTGGGCGCCCGTACCCGCCAACGCAACGGGCCCGCCTCGTACGCTGGCTGGCGTTTCGGAGCTTCGGCCAGTGGGCGCCTGTGCCCGCCGGCATTGATTCCCTGTCCTGAAAAGAATATTGCCAGCCCATGTTGGCCTCCAAGATGGCACATGAAAGCCGACGATGGCTTAAGATAGCCTCCGAAATATCTCCTAGATGCCCCTAGGCGACCTGATTGCTCCAAGTGCCCCCGAGCCCGCCGAGTGCTCCAGTTCCAAAACCTGTCTTGTCTTTCAATCATGGTTGCCCTTTCGCCTTTCAGGCCTCACGATGGCCTCTCAGGCCTCACGATGAACCTTGTTTTCTTTCAACGGGCCTCTGAGACCCCAAGATGGCAAGTAGTAGTAGTAGTAGTAGTAGTAGTAGTAGTAGTAGTAGTAGTAGTAGTAGTAGTAGTAGTAGTAGTAGTAGTAGTAGTAGTAGTAGTAGTAGTAGTAGTAGTAGTAGTAGTAGTAGTAGTAGTAGTAGTAGTAGTAGTAGTAGTAGTAGTAGTAGTAGTAGTAGTAGTAGTAGTAGTAGTAGTAGTAGTAGTAGTAGTAGTAGTAGTAGTAGTAGTAGTAGTAGTAGTAGTAGTAGTAGTAGTAGTAGTAGTTCTACTAGTAGTAGCAATAGTAATAGTAGTAGTCGTAGTAGTGGTAGTAGTAGTAGTCGTCGTCGTCGTAGTAGTAGTACTAGTACTACTAGTAGTAGTAGTAGTAGTAGTCGTAATCGTAGTCGTAGTCGTAGTAGTGGTAGTAGTAGTAGTAGTAGTAGTAGTAGTAGTAGTAGTAGTAGTAGTAGTAGTAGTAGTAGTAGTAGTAGTAGTAGTAGTAGTAGTAGTAGTAGTAGTAGTAGTAGTAGTAGTAGTAGTAGTAGTAGTAGTAGTAGTAGTAGTAGTAGTAGTAGTAGTAGTAGTAGTAGTAGTAGTAGTAGTAGTAGTAGTAGTAGTAGTAGTAGTAGTAGTAGTAGTAGTAGTAGTAGTAGTAGTAGTAGTAGTAGTAGTAGTAGTAGTAGTAGGTAGTGGTAGTGGTAGTGGTAGTGGTAGTGGTAGTGGTAGTGGTAGTGGTAGTGGTAGTGGTAGTGGTAGTGGTAGTGGTAGTGGTAGTGGTGGTGGTGGTGGTGGTAGTAGTAGTAGTAGTAGTAGTAGTAGTAGTAGTAGTAGTAGTCGTATTAATAGTAATAGTGGTAGTAGCATTGGTAGTGGTAGTCGTAAAATAATAAAAGTAGTACCAGTAGTAGCAGTAGTACTGATTTTCGCGGTAGCGGCGCAACCAAATTCATTCGTAACAAGAGACGTGGTGGTAAAAGCCATACACGTCAAAGAGACTGGACGAGCCTTTGCACAGGACGCATTCATTCTTACGTTGCCCCGAATATGACAGGGGACGCTAAGGACCTGTACCTCCGACGATTTGATGATGCTCAATCCGGGCGCGTTGCTTCGATGTCGGCCTGGAACCGTCATCGGGCCTCAAAATCCTCCAAAATTGCCCTGGGGAGAAAGACTGGCACCCGACAGGGGATCGGGGGCCGCTGGGCCGCGCATGACAAATATCACAGATCACATCGTCGACAGTCTTGGAGAACGTTTAATTATTTTCGGCGATGACGGGCGTCATGGGGTGGGGGGGGCAGAGGGGGTATAACGTAACGCCCCCCCCCACCGTGTGGCTCCGGCACCACAGCCGCGCAAGCCCGCACGACGACGATGACCGACGAGCGACGAGCGACGAGCGACGACGACGACGACGACGACGACGACACTGCGAGCAGCATGTAGGTGGCGATCTGCCCCACACCGCCTGTGTGCACCACAATGCTCGCGTGCACCACAACGCGCAACACAGCGCGCGTGTACACCACAGCGCCTGCGTACACCGCAACAGCCGTGCGCAACGCAACGCCTGTGTACACCGCTTGCGTGCACCACAGCGCCGGTATACACCACAGCGCCTGCGCACACCGCAGCAACCATGTGCAACGCAGCGCCTGTGTACACCATAATGTTTCCGTGCACCGCAGCGCCTGTGCACATCACAGCGCCTGTCTACACCACAGCATCTGCGTGCAACGCAGCGCTGGTGTATACCACATTGCCTGCGTCCACAGGACAGGTAGAAAGAGCATGTAGATGAGGATCTGCTGCGGACAGCTAAACGCCACGCCAGGAAATTGCTGATGATAGAATGCGACGTTCTTCCCTCCTGCCTCCTCCGCCCTCCACCTTCTCCTCCTCCTCTTTCTCCTCCTCCTCCCTCCTCATTTTCCTCCTCCCTCACCCTTCCCCCCCTGTCGTGCGGGTCGGCGCTACAGCGCACGTGCGCATCTCAGCGTGCACCGCAGAATGGTATATTGAATCGGTCCGATTGGGTCTCGACGGCCAATTTTGCTGGAGCCTCCTGGACGCAAGGAGGAGCTCATCATGATGCGGGCGGACTCGGGAGGACTCGAAAATTTCAACGGCGCTCCTGTTTCCATCAAGATTCCGTTCCAAATCTTATATAAAACACGTGTTTCCTGTGGAACCCACAGGCGCTCCATTCTGTCATAAGGATTCCTTCTCAAATTATAAATGCAACAGTGGTGCTCTATTGCACACGGTTTCTGTGGTGCATACAGGCGCCGTGGTGTACACAGGCGCTGTAGTGCACGCAGGCAGTGTGGTGTACAGTTGCTGTGTCGCACACGGCTTGTGTGGTGTACGCAGGCGCTGTGGTGTACACATGCGCTGTGGTGCCCTAAGCATTCCCAGACGCCACCGGCGCGAAACGTGACGTCATCGGCCCCCTCCCCCCACCCCCCAGATGATTGCCATCATCGGCCCGGATTTTCGTACAAAAAAAACTCCAGCCACGTCCGCGCGCACGACGCCGATGAGCGACGAGCGACGAGCGACGAGCGACGAGCGACGAGCGACGACGACAACTACGACGACGACGACGACGACGACGTCTGCGGACCAGACTACTATGCGGATTCCAATGATGCGGACACCTATGCGGATCCCGCTGCGCACGGCGGCAATGCCTGGAGCGCGCTGGGTGGGGGGGGAGCGTTACGTCATAGGGGGGGAAGGCCAGGGGTCATGACGCCCGTCATGCTCAAAGCAATAAAGAAACACTCTCTTGAGGGAGATGAGGAAGGGACCAGTTCAGGGGGGTAAACATTTTCGCGTTCCCGGTCTCCGGTGTTTCGAGGCCTCAAGGTGGCCCCAGAGCAGAGGCTTCGGAGATGACCCCGGGACCGCCCAGGACCGCTCCAAAGTGGCCCCAAATGCCACCAGGACAGCCCCAAGACGGCGCCAGAGATGAAGGGGAACGTAAGGAGCTTAGCGGCGGACCGGCCCCCCAGAACAGCGCAAGAAATCCTCCGACCCATTGTCGGCCTCTAGGCGCGTCGATCCCTAATCACTCCGGCAGCCCGAGACCGAAGACTCGCCCCCCCCCCTGGACCGGAGCGAGCCCGGCACCACAAACCAGGAACGCAACAAGATGCCCCAAGATGCACCCAGGAGGTCCCGAAGACGCGCCGACAGGCACTCAAAACGAGCCCGAGGCGCTTTCAGAACTGCTTTCAAGAAACCCTGCCCTCCCCCCCAAAAAACAAGGGGTCGGCGGATGTGGCGTACGCCTATAGAATCGGATCGGATCGGCCGAAATCGATGTTGAACCGGATCGATCGGATCAAAATGGATTCTTCACTGAGCGGGCTGTGAAGGCGAAGCGTTTCAGATAGGCCAGCCCATCAGCCACCTGTGCCAACAGGGAGCCGACCTCCCCCAAACCGAAGTGTCCGCCCCCCTCTCGCCGTCGATCTACAGCCTCTCCAAGCTGCCCGTCGCAGAGCTCGACGCATAAAACGTACGCGTCGTTGGCGACCAGGGGAGGCGGCGGTTGGCAGATGCGGCACGCGCCGAGGAAGCCGACGAGCCTAGGATGCCGAAGGGTGCGCATGAGCTGGACTTCGCGGCCAAATTCCTCGACCACGTCCGCAAACGTCGAGGGGCCGAGCGGGAGGACTTTGGCGGCACAGGCCAAACTCTGGACAGACGCCTCATGCTCGCCGCCCTGTCCCCTCAGGAGGGCCGTGCACCGGAAAACGATCGAGCCACTCGCACCTCGGCCGAGCAGGCCTCCGAAAGAGAGCTCGGCGTCGAACGGGGGCAGCTCCAACTGTGGCAGCTCTGGAGGGCTGCTCAACACCGCCGTCGCAGGGTCGGGCTCGGCGGGCGCGGCGGGCGCCAGGCTGGCCGGCTCCGCAGAGGGGGGCGGCCCACCACAGTCGAGAAACGCCAGAGGAGGAGGCAGGTGCTTGCAGCTGCCCTTCTCTTTGAATTCCCGGCATGTGCACTGCGGACGATGATCCTCGTTCCGCCCAGGCTCCTCACCAGGCGAGCACTCTACGATATCGGACGCCTCGGGCTCGGGCTTCCGACGAGAGCCGAGGCTACAACAGCTGAAACAGCGACGGGGCATCGTCAATTTTTGACGATGGCCCGTCGCGCAAAGACACTGTCTTTGGGCCAAAATGGGCTGAGCCAGAACGGCCACGGACCGCGCTCGGGGGGCCTCGCCCTGGAGCTTCTGGGCCT